AAGCAGCAGCACCAACAGCCTCTTCCGCCACTTTGGTGTCTTCTTGAGCATTTCACACCCAAGTGCTGACTAAAGAAACACTCATGTTATGAGCCAGTGTGCAGCAGTTCTGCTTTTATACAGTAATGTTTTGGTAATACTTCGATTTCTACTTGTGGCTTATGATTTTTTCTTAGTTTGGCAGCTTTTGGGAAAAGTTCTTGACTCTCAGAAGAGCTGAAACTTCTGTAACTCTTTTTCATAGATGTTTTGCCTTTCCCAGTTACCCTCCCCCAAACCTGTRCAGACATTTAGTACATCAGTTGCAGAGTCGTGGAGAAATAGATAATTGAATATTCACACATGCAGAAACAACCCAGGCAGAATGTGGAACAATGTGGAAACAAGCGCGAAAAGAGGCGGCATCTGTTTATTGAAAATTAGAATGTAGAATAAATTAAGAGGGCAAGGTTAAAACACTTCATCTGCAGGCAGAGTTTGTAGGGGAGAAAGACTGCAGGAAGTTTAGCACACAGACTGGATATAAAGAACTTAAGCAGTTCTATTTTTGCAAAATGAGTTGTTTTTTTTCTCCCCAAAGGACACATTATAAAGGGATAAAGTGTCCACATAAAGAATGGTTTTCCAATAGAGATGATTATATATAGCTGTTTCACAGTAATGCCAGAATTGAAATGCTTAAAACATTAATGTTGCAATGCTTCAAGTACTGAAGAAGAACAGAGAATTTTTAGCCATACCCTCAATTCATGTAAGCAAATGCTGTGCTAATTTTTCCACCAGTGCCTATGCAGGTCATGCTGGGCCTTTCTAAAACAAATAATGAATTTAGCAAATTCGCATTTTTAATGCCTGCTTTGGTATCTTTCTGCAAGGAGAAGGGTAGAGCCAAGATAGTGTTTGATGGACTGACAAATGCAGTGAATTTGGTTTTAATATGGAATTACTCTGCTGGCATTTCCAAAGGCCTGTGAAGATATRACATCTACGAATAGAGGATCTGAGCTTTCACTTTTTTTTTTTGTTCTGTACATACCTTTGCACTTTGTACATTAAGCTTGCAAAAGGTTTACCACTTTAAAGCTGCTCAAGTAGGCAAAAGCCATTTCCTAGTCATTCATCATAAAAAAAGCTTAATTATGCTAGGACRTATTGACACTGCATCAGATTTTAATCTTCAACTTAATTTTATAACCATTGCTAACAGATGGGCTGATTACACTGAATTTGAGTTTTAAGTAATAGTTAAAAACTCTAAAATATGATTAAACTGGAAATACCCATAGCATACATAATTCTCAAAAAGCTACTGAAAGAARRGAAATGAGAATAAAACCTCTTTTTYGTTTCCTGAGGGAGAARCATTGCATTTAAGTAGAGTTAYCAAAGTTCCWTAGATGACCAAGCAGTTTRTGCTATTGGCAGCTCCTGTTCAATTCAACAGATAACACAGGACCTTATCCTTTTCATAGGTCTGCTGCCTTATTCTAGCATAAAAGGTGTGAATTTTTCTATTTCAGAGGCTCTTTTTTATCAAAACAAGTACCCTGTTTTTTTTTTTCATTGAAAATGAAAGCAAAGAGTAATTTAAATTACCATATTTTTGCTCTTAAATAACAAAAACAAATGTAGAATTCTTATGAAACAGAGGGASAGCTTTGTGGGACTAATGGAAGTCACATGTGAATTTTGAACAGARGGTATTTTTTTCATGTTATCTTGTTAACGTTACTAAAGGAAAGATAAGCCAAACTTCCCTCTGCCTGCCATTGTTCATCATGTGCTGGACATCTGTTTCATAGCACARGGATGATAATGGGTCAGAGGTGATTGGTGTCCTGAATTCTGGAATAGGAAAAATATAAAAATGTCAGATCTCACTTCTATACATTGCAGGAAAAAAAAAAGGGCTTAGTACATGAAAGTCCTCTTACATCCTGGAACAGTCCTCTGGCCWACGAGATCAGCGTAGAAAATGCTGGCAAGGCTCCTGACAGCTCTATTTCAGACAGATTTCTTGTCACCAGTATTAACATTTCCAAATGAAAGGACACTCGTCATAGACCAGGCACCAGGCTTGGGGCAAGAAAAAGTTTACTGAAATTAAATATTTTGTTACAACTCCACTGACAGTGATCCTRTACTTATGAGTGATTAATTAAGATTTCTGCTAGTTTTGGCTGGGGTGGAGTTAATTTTCTTCACAGTGGCAGGTATGGGGCTGTGTTTTGAATTTGTGCTGAATGCAGGATTGATAACATCAAGATGTTTTTGCCATTACTGAGTAGAGCTTACACAGAGCCAAGGCCTTTTCTGCTTCTTGTACTGCCACACTGGGAAGGAGACTGGGGGTGCCTGGGAGGGTGAGAGGAGGGACAGCAGGGACAGGTGACCCCAACTGACCACAGGGATATTCCAGCAATGTAAAATCATGCTCAGTACATGAAATAGGAGAAGAAGGAAAGAGGAGGAAGGGCTTTTGGAGTGATGGCATTTATCTTTTCAAGTCACCATTACCCAGGATGGGGCCCTGCTCTCCTGGGGATGGCTGAACACCCACCTGCCCATGGGAAGCAGTGAATTATTCCTTGTTTTGCTTTGTTTGTGTGTGCAGCTTTTGCCTTTCCTATTAACCTATTTTTATCTCAACCCAGGAGTTCTCTGCCTTTTACCCTTCCAATTCCCTCTCTGATCCTGCTAGTGGGGGAGCAGCTGTGTGGGGCTTGGCTGAGGTTAAACCACAACATTCAAAATGGCTTAATACCACCATCTTTTCATTATACAGAAGGGTATGAATGATGAAAATTCTCTGAATTAAGTACTCTACCTACAATCTTATTTTCAGGATCTTTTGACCACCAGTTGCAGAATTTACAAGTCTAGTAAATGTCTGTCCTTGCAWGCAATGTTATTTTTCAACATGCTGGGAGAGAGACCCTTTCCATCCAATAAGTAAAATGCTGCCCTAGTGCTACAAAAATGCAGACCAGAGGAAGAGCCTGAAAAGCTAAAATTAGGCTGTCAATTTATGATGATGCTTCAGACCAAAATGGAGGCAGCACAAAGCTGTCTGGAGTGGTGACCTGTTAGCACAGTCACGGTCACCTGCAGTGTGGCTGTGTCACAGTGSTCAGATTTGTACCTCAGACCAGGTCTCTAACAGTCACACACCCAACACTGTTTTGCCTTTCAGCCCTTTGCTGATGTTCAGTGCCTCTGTGAGAGAACAGGCCCTGGCAGGCACCAGCTGAGAAGAGAATGATGGGAGGACCCAGGTAGCAGTGGTAGCAATGCTGCTGCTCCAACCCTTGGAGAGGACAGAAGGCTGAATGAGCTGGAGAAAAGGAGCAGAGCTGCAGTGGTGTTCTCCTGTCCAACTGCCAGTAGTAAGAGGGGTTGTTTTTGATAGGTAGTGTTTCAATATCTAAACAAATACATCAACAACATTTGTAAATCAKAAAATGGTTTGGGTTGGAAGGGTTCTTTAAAGGTCAYTTAGTCCAACCCCYCTGCAATGGGTAGTGATCTTCAACTGAATGAGGCTGTTTAGAGCCTCATCCTACCTGACCTTCAGTGTTACCACGGATTAAGTTTCTACAACTTGTCTGAGCAACCTCTCCCAGTGTTTCATCATCCTCATAATAAAAAAAAAATCTTCCTTATATCTTCTGTCCTTATATCTAATCTGAATCGATTTTATTTTTAAATTAAACTTTCAATGTAAAATAATATAAAATAGCTCAATTTAAATCATATTTATTGCCTTAAGCAGCCTTTATACASACAGCATCTAATAAGACAAACCATATATATTTTTTCAGCTTTTAGGTTTTTTCTACACTGCAGTTAAAAATCAGCATTTTCTTCTTTCCTCCTAACTGGTTTTGGACTGTTATTTAGGTGTAAGCTTGGTAAGTCAGCACAGACTAGCACTCGTCAAGTCTTCTCTCGTTAATATTATTGGAGCTATCAGTCACATCTGCAAATGTCCATTCCGAATAAATTGACAAACCCAAATCACTCATTTGGCAGTTGTTGATGAATATAATGCAAAATGCTTTATTTCTGTCCACATAACTTTGTGACAGAAAAATTATAATTTCCAAACTGTTTAAATTAGTTTCTCATGTGCCAGGAGCTGCTGTGCACTTACAGAAAGTCCTGTTGCTTTTTCAGAACAGATAGTATTAAATATGTCTTCAACAACCTACTAAATACATAATAAGGTGCTTTGTTATAATATCTGTTCTATCCTTTAAAATCACAGCTTTTACTTTCAGGAAGTAATACTACAGTCAGGCATCTGTTCTGGGGTCTACTGTGTGGTAGGACTCAGATTTCGAAGGCATCTCAATTAATTTCTCTTGGAGACAGGTGTTTTTTATTTCTTTTTTAAAAGCTTTTCAGAAGCAGAATCCTCRTGGGATGAATAAAACTCCTCCCAGGTACATAGGCTTACGAGAAGCTACAATGMAAGTTCAATAAGTCACTTTCATAATGAAAAGAACCTCCATGTTCTGCACTATTAAGTAGCCTAAAGAGGCTTTTAGTTACTGCATTATCTGAAGTACTGATAGCTGATTTAGGCAAGAAGATTATCTAGTTCAACTTGATAAGATTACTGTAACGAAAGGAAAGCTGCTCTGAAAAAGATTTTAGGGATTTTTGTGGAGCTGTTAGATACAAAAAAAAACTTTCCTTCCCATTAACATTGTAAAATTAAAATGTGGATAAGTTTTAAAGTAAGAGCCTGCCCACCAGTGTTGCCAGTAAGGGCAAACCCACCCCCAAAATCCAGTAAGTAGTTTCAGAAATCTTAAGAAAGCTTCAGATTATTGAGGGAAGTGGAAAGTGTGGATACAGCAGCCATTAATGAAAAGTTTCCAGAGAACTTGAGAGAAAAAAAAAATATAGAAAAAGTTACAGAGCTAGATCCAGCCTGGAAAGACCCATAACACAACAAGATATTTGAAAGATCCAACTTTCCAGGCAGGAAATAGGAATAATAAATAGCCTACCTTCAAATGATGAGTATTTTCATTAGAAGTGTGACCTCTCTTCTTTTTCCCTCACACCCTTCATACCAAGTCTAAGTGAATAACTAATAGTGTCATGATTAATTAAAAGATCATGGGCCCCCCGGAAATTATGGGTTAATTTTAAGAACACAGAATTGAAAATGAAGGGAACAGGAGATCTGAATCTGTCTTTTCTTATATTACCTACAAAGAAAAGAGGTTTTACAATGAAATATGAAATACTGAAATGTTTTAATACAGGTGGAAGGTTAAGACAGCTATATACAATCTGTGCAACATAACAATAAAAAAAAGCTCTTTTAACACAAGCTTTATCACACTGGAACAACTCCTGGTGAATGCACTGCATTCAATGAGTTGAGTACTAGAAAGCACATATTTTTCTCAATCTACTAAAATAATAAATTAGAAATTACAAAGTTATGATTTTCTTAAGAATAGACTAAATAAGATTTTCAAAAGCACACTATTAAAAGGGACAGGTCTCATTCAATGTGAACTAAATTATGAAATGCTTTGAAATCCTGTCTTGTATGTTGCAATACAGGCTCAAATAGAGYCATTTGAATATGTAATAAATTAGCTTTCAGTCTTTCTATTGCTATTCAAGAGTATATTGAGTTAATCTTCAGATGCATGACATAATAAAATACCACAGATTTTTTAAAAAATTATTACATAAATTGGTGGAAAAAAATAGCCACAAAAATTGATAAATGTATTTCCATTGTAAAGATAAGAACTTGTCTAGTGTGTTGTAGTCTATAGTTTTAGGTTCCGACAATGTCACAGCGTCCAAGAGGAAAGGATTAATCACCAGCAAACTGGTGATCTGTCTCATTTTCCAGTTTTTGTATCTCATTTTGTCCAGCCTCTGCGAGGTAAGATAAGAGTCTTTTATAGGCTTCTCTGTTGGGAAAAAGGAAAAAAAAAATTAAAAAAAATTTAAAAAAAAAATGAAAACATGTAGCATGCTATTTTAACGATCTCACACATCCTAGAAACAAAAACGTGTCATTTCCAAACACATTGTTGAGATATTGCAATATTWAAACATGGCAACTTAATGTTCAATTCAATTCCCCACCTATTCAATTGCTTTGTTTGCTCTGAATCTTTAGCATGGTCAGGTCAGAGGAAGAACAAGGATTACACTGTTTATGGCTAGAAGCGTAGTGGAGATGCTTAGAGACCTACTTRTTTAGTAAATTCCTGTGAAATAGAAGTTCTTCAGTTTCCAAGACCTAGGTGAGATTAGCATTCAGGCTTGATGTTTGTTCTCTCATTTCTGCCTAAGCAATCCCTGTGACTCACCACAGCGCAGTGATGTGAGCCCCKGGCACTTGGGTGCAGCCCAACACTGACCCAGATTTAGACCATCATTCTCAACCAAGGACAATGAGTGTTTAAAAATAAAGCTGGAATTCAGAAGGGAGCTGTCACTCAAGTGTATTTTCCAGAAGGGTGCATGTGTGTTGATGAGACTTTTCACCTTAAGTTCWTTCTAATACTCTCCAAGCTAGACAGTGAAATTATTGCTAAAGTACTGCCTGTGACATTTAGGTCTTCTCTAATTATCTATTTTTGTCATGAAATATTAACTTGAGCAAACAAAACTGCAGTTTTCATACTGGTTCCTTRCAATAATAACACTGGACATCACCACTATAAGCATCTAATGCAGCTTCTTAATATAGATACAGATTTGCACTTTAATATCTATACTAATTGCACTGAACAATATAATGTTAATATAATGTTATTTATATAGTATAATAATATAGTGTTAATATAATGTTATTTAGAAGCTGGGACTAAAAAGAGAAAATCAGGTGATCTTGAAGAGAGAAAATTAGTGTTCTTACAGCAGCATGCTCATGGATCACCTCAGGCTGCTGGGTAATGGAGCACATTCTAAATACAAATTACTAATAGAAACATTGGCAACAGATTAGATAATATATATGGTTTAAGTGATGAGGCTAAAGAAAATGAAGCTCTTCAGTAATCTCCAAACATTTATTTCAGGAAGCTCAAACAACCTGCCTGCTTTCAGTACTTTGTAGATAATGAGATGAATGTTATCATATTAACAGTATTTAATACAAGAAAWACAAACAAAAATTTTAGCTATGAAATACATTATCAAAGCATGAAAAGCAGGTAGTGTGGAAATSCTAAATATAATGGTACATCAGGCTCACTCTGGGAAAATTCTCTTAAAAGCAAATGCAGTTGTTGGTAGTGGATAATAAAAAGTGACTAATATAATTACAACTGAGTTAAATACATTTTTCATTAAATGGAAGATTAATACCCTGCGACTACCCCTTAATGTCTCACAAGTTACTCTTGCACAGCTCTGTCTTTTGGACWTTTTATAGCCCAGGCCCTGCTGACACACATCTCAAAGCTTCCCCAGCGTGAGGCATGAGTGGTYGTACCCTTTGAGTGGTCCCAGGATGTGCAGAAATGCAAACATTGGGGTCAGTTCCTTGCCCAGCCCACAGGAGCCTTGCAGTGAGCAGCACGAACAGGAGCCCTTTGGGCTCAGGTGCCACAAACAGCAGAGCTTCCTGGGGTTTTGTAACTACGTTGTACAGATGCTGAGAGGTCAGTSCTGCATCTGCACCCTGAGTCACCACCATGCATCCCTGCAGAGCTGCTCCCCTCATGTGCCATTTCCTCCTAATGCCAGATGGATTCACATCTCAAATATTTCTGTCCTAACTTCTTGGGGGGCAAAAGGAAGAAGTGTGAGCCTGCTGTTTCTATTGGAACCAGCCTTCTCTGGACACTCACAACTCTTCTATGTTTAGATTATGAGAGAGCTCTTKAAATTAAATTGGGGGTATTTTTTTTCCAAGCATTCCAGATCATACCTGCTTATACTTTGATTTTACATATGATCCATAAAGTTCTCTAAGACAGGGACTAACAGGAAAATCCTTTGGGTAAGGAATCCTTTATTYTGTTTTGCAACATACAGTGTAGAGGCAACCTGGCTTCACAAAAATTTTGCTGTGGTCTGTGGACCCTAATATCAAAACATCTCTGGAAATATTCAGCAAATATAGATGGCTTAAAACCATGAAAGGCTTGAGTTAAGGGARATTTCTGGCTGAACACACTTAAAATGCACTCATTTTCACTCAGTGTCTTAAAACTGCTTTCTTTCAAGAGAATAAAGCCTTTGCTATTCATTGTCAAAAAATAATATGAAATAAAAATCCAACCTCTGTGCAACATTCCTTCCAAGACCTTGTTTGTGCTCGGAATCCATCAGGGACTGCGTGATTGTGGGAATCAGGCTGGTAACTAACGTCTGATCCAAGACTGCCACTGTTTGCAGTATGCTGAAAACCCGGTGATCATAGACAGCAGTGTAGTCCTGGATAAACTGCCTGAGGGGGATACAGAGACATTTTAATGCAGGGTCAAAAACAGATGCACAGAACGTGCCAAGAACAACTGAACAGTCTAATCAGAACAAGCAATCTGGCTGCATAGCAATTTTCATATTGTTACACTGGAATAYTCTACCTGGAATACTTTCTCTAAACAAAGCCATGCTTTTTGAAGCCYAATGCTAAAAATTCCACACATTTATTTTCGAGCAATTTGGCAGATTCTGCTGCTGTTTCACCAGGACTGMCTTGTTCCAGAGCACTTTACTTTGTAATGTGGGTGAATGCAAAACTAAACAACATATTTCTTATTTAATAAATAACAATTTTAATAAAAATACTAACAAGAGTTTTAGATTCAAATTTGCAAAAATAATGTTGRCATTTCTTATAAAGCTGCACTGGAACCTAAACAGGGCAGACCACTGGATGAAAGGACATCCATTGGCCTTCCTGAGGATTTGATGTTTTTAACAATCACAGATTACATTCAAATCAAAATTYACACCCTAGGGATGACATTGCATGAAAGTGATGTGTCACATTTTGGTGAGTCTCTCTGRAGCTTTCACCTAGACCTGACCCAATATAGCAGCAATTGTTTAAGGGCTGCAGAATGTCTTTGAGTCATGCAGCTCTTCTACTGTATCCATGTGAGATACAGGATTCATTTTGCAAAGCTACAAAATAAGCATAATTTACATTACAATAATCCATTGTTGTCACTAAACCAAACAAAAAAAAAGCTAAGCTTGTTATATGAAGATTATCTTCAAATTTGGCACACATATCTTTCACAGTACCACCAGCATTGCTGAGGAGTTTTTCCCATTGCAGGAGCAACACACCTCCCTGCTGTGTGTCTCTCAAAATTGTACCTCATCCATGAGGAAGCAGGTATGTCTCTCTCTACTGTTTTTCTGCTCTGGCTTTTTGGCAAAGCTGTGTTCAAACCCAGTGCCAAAAGTACCATTACTTAAATACCATAAACAAGCAACAATGCAGCATGTTAGGATAATTAGTTATTTTAAAACAACATGTTTGCTGTCAATTGGCTCRCAGCAGCTTTGCTGCCAGTTGGCATATTTTCTGGTTACCTAAATACAGAAGTCAGCTGCGTGGCATGTTCTCCTCCTGACCCTGCTTGGCAGCCTTCTACCATGTACTGTAAAATGTCTGTAGATATTTTTTTAACTGCAAAAGAAAAATCACAAGATTCACACAGAGCTCTTGARCTGACCATCTGGAGAATGTCTTTCATGAAGACTAAAATTTTTAAATGAGAAAAAAAAAGGTTTTATCTTCCTTTGATGCAAGTGAAATGACTGTGAGAGCACTTAGATTGGCTATAAAGAACAGAATGAGTCACAGATTTATGCAAAAGTCTTATTTTCACCACCATTATCCTTTAAACAGATTTTTAAATACACTATGGTCTTTAAAAGTCAAAGCTAAGAGATACACATTTAGAGGAAATAGAGGTATTATTTAAATGTGAGTTCTGTTTATATTCTTTACTCATTTCTGATGATTCAAAAGAAAGGTAGTCACAGCATTATATCCTGCTCAAAGCTATGTGGATCTACTCTGTATTTTCAATGGTGGAAACAGTTCTGAAATGCACCCTGTTTTTTTAAGGGGAAAAACACTAAAAAACCCCAACAAAACCCCCCACTATTTTCTCAGTAATTGTTTCCAAATAAATACCCGAGTTGTAAGACACAGCTCTTTCTTTATAGAGGTAGAACTGGGCTGCAAGGACTGTTCTAGAAGGGTGTGCCAGAGCCCCATCCAAGCAGGCAGGGAGCTGGTGGCTACACAGCTCAAGACTTCCAGCACACTGCAAGGTGGGTACTCAGATTCCAGCAGATATGGCTGTGATAGCAAAAGGGGAAGAAAGTTGTGTGATGATTGAGCTCATTTCCTAAGCACATCTTGTCYTTGAAACTATTATAGACCAGAATCAAAAAGTACTTTATTAGAGAAAATTCCCAGGAGAAGTCAGAGGTGAATCCAAATTTTGCTTAATGACTCTCTMGCAGCAAGAAATAGAAATTTTGAACTTATGCACATTCCTTATACAATGGTGGGGTGAAAAGAGTGCTTCTTTCTTTAAGTAGCTAAAAATAAAGATGTTCTTGCTACTAAACAAAGCATGCTAAAAGAAGAAAGAAGATTCAAAGATGCCTTCAGACAGTAACAYACTTTTAATACATATATAATGCCTCTATGGGAAAACATACACTAGTCTTACTTGATCTCAAAAGTTTAGGTGAAAGAAAACTTCCACATTTGGTAAGTCTGGAGGAGATTAGATGGGAAGGATGGGGAAAAAGGAAATGCCTTCAGGTTCCTGAGCAGCTGATTACTTCATTAGAGAGTTAAATGAGGCAGGACTTCTCTGCCTGAGAGACAGAAGTCCCAGACCAGTTAATGAATAAAACAGCCTCATGCAGTTTAGCTGGCCAGATTATTTTATTCACCTAATCTGAGAGTCTKAAATACTGGGATGAAAAATCTTGCAGGTGTGGAGAGATGCACTTAAAGCAAACAAACAGCTCACCTTGCAGCTCATTAACCAGTAGCAAGCATTTCAACACTGCTGGGAGAACCAAGTCAATGTCACACAGTTCAATGCTCTGGGATCTCTGAAGTACTTCAAGAATGAAAGCAAGAACGGAGGCCAAGCGAGGAGGTGGAGCATTCCCTTTGAACTGCARGTAGTTTTCACTGGGAAGACAAAGCAAGTCAGAACAAAGTCTGTGATTTGGGTGTTTTTTCCAAGTAATGCAAGAACCATATACTTTAAAATAACTGTGATATTTCAGCAGGAGGCCTATTACACAGATTTCTATCTTTATCTTGGCTCAAATAATGACTTCTATTTGTCTTAGTCCTAGCAATGACTCCCAATTTGTCAGAGGACAGTGATACCTTCTGACTCTTCTGTGAGAGGGGAGTGAGAAATACGAGCTATCATAATTACAGTTAAAAACACAAGTGTGACTATAAAAGCCAAATACAAAGGTAGTTTCATAATATAATTGAACAGATGAAGGAATCGAGATTCTAAGGCCCTGAACCAACATCCATAATACACCTGTTACTCAATTACATTATTTAGCTTTATGTGCTTTTGCAAAGTCACAATCCAACTTGTGGTAACAGCTCTGCTGTTACACTGGTACTGTTACTTTATTTTTGTCAACAGTATGCTATAACAGGACAGCCAATGACTGATGTTGCTCTGTCAGAATTATCACAAACATCTCCAATATAAAATCTGGCACAAAAACAAAAGGTGACCCATCAATCTGCAACAGAAGCAAAATTTAGCACCATGGAATGTTACAATTTTAACACCTTGATTTGTTAATTTTCCACAAAAGAATACAAGAATATGAACTACTGTTGGTTCATATTCTTCATATGAACATTCATATGAACTACTGTTGGCATCACAAATTAATGAAATCTGAAGACAATAAGTTTGAATTGAAGCATTCAGGGCAGAGAAGCATGGGTGAAAAAGAACAGAACATTTATTCAACTCTCAGCAAGAGCAGTCCCTGAACCTCCAAAAAACCTTTTTAGATATTAAATATTAGGTACTGTTAYCTACTCAAACAAGGCACATATGTTGACTGAGCAGTGCATCAATTAAAARCCAGCATCCTTATTAAAAACTCAGTAAAGGATGCTTCTGCAACTTTCAAATGAGATCTGACTTCCAAAGCTCTGGGTACCCATTGCACTGCAATGTGTGCATTGGTATGACTTGGCAAATGAAAGCTGTAACACCCACAGTTCTTGTATCATGTGGTCTTACTTTCTTTAATATTAGCAACTCTGAAACCTTCTATCCCATTAATTACTCTGAAAATTTTCCACAAWTTTTTTTGGGTGTTCTTCCACTAAAATATCTCTCTGGCCTGGGTAACACAATCCTGATGGTGTGGACAGCAGCAATACATTCAGCAGCTTTCACATGGYGAAGTGGAGAGCAAACTGTACCTATTTGGGCACAGACGCTATGACTGCCTCATGACCACCCAGCAGTTTGCAAAGCAGAGTGCTGCTCAGTTCTAACACATTCTCCCCAGATCACTAAGGAATGTTTCATGTCTCAAAAATCACYAAGTGCCATTACACCTTCAGAACTTTCCCCTCTCAATCCCCATGTTCACACATGCATGCACACACTTAAAAATAACTTTATTAAGATGATGAAGTTTGAGTATCCGTAAGTTAAAAATATGTCAGAACTAAGATTGTGAAATCTTAGTTCACTCCCTCACTATGTGACAATACAGGATTTACTTACAGGATTACCTGTTATATTCACCCAAGATGAACACTCACATTCTTTTTCTGATCAACATGTATACCCACTGTATAACAAATAAAGATCCAATTATCTTGGATATAAGCCTGTATTTGAGGTGGTTTAAATACTTTCCTAACATGGACAAAAAGTACAGATTGTTCACTATTCTGCAGTACATAAAACCAAACGTCAATATCTCAGCAGCAGAAACACAGATTTGTAGCTGCTGTTGAAATCATGTCAGTGGTGACAGCCCAGTGAACATTCTGTGTCCCCATCTCTCTGTCTTCCTCTTCCCACACCCACAGTTTTCCGTGTCCCCTGGGCAGCTGGCACACTTGTTTATGCTCTGATATTTACAGAGCAACCAGGTAACTGGCAGCTCTAAGCACTAGAACTCTGTGATGCTAAGTACAGCCTGAGATACAAACATGATGATGTCTATTGGAGTGTAATTTTTCTAGAAAATTACTTGCTTTTCATGACCTCCTGCAGTACTTTTTGTTATGGCCTAAGACCTTTACCCTTAATTAGTCTCTCACAAATCTTTCCAGTTTTACTCTCCTGATGTATAAACACTGTCCTTCCTTTGCTGCCAGCCCAGCAACTCACAGGCTCTTCCAACAGCCACATCAACAGCTAACTGAGAAGAAAACAGAGCTCTTTGTGAAATGTGAATCTGAAACCTGAGTGATATTTTATATTTCACTGGTCCTTACCTTATGACATGCAAAGTGGTTTTCCGGAGCCGGAGCAGCTGGGGGGCTGAGATGGAGCTGCCTAAAGCAGTGAGCAGAGGATGCTGTCCAGCACCAGGCACAGTCGGTGAGGAAGGGAGAAATCGTCCAAAGTAATGTCTAATAATGCTCCCAAGGAGCTGATTTAAATAGGCTCCCTGTGTTTGGGACTGACAACATATGAAGGACAGGCCCTGTAGAAGAAAATTTTAGAATGAAAGAAATTGARTAAATTTTAACAATACGATCAAATAAATCTTTAACAGCTGCAGAYTAAACACTCACTACATGCTGTGTGAACTGCTGCATACAGAGTAACTACTGCCTGACAAATGAGCACCAGTAATTTGCAGCAGATATGATGGTCTGCAAATGAAGACAGAGTCAGGCAAGGCCTGCAAAGGAGGGAAAAATCTTTCACTAGACTAATATATTGGTACATAAACTGGGTGGGACATGCACAAGCTTCCCCTTAAATTCAAAATAAAACCGTGGCATTTCAGACCAGTGAAAGTTTCTGTGACCAAAAGCTTCTCATTTTTGTTTTTAATCCTGTACATGGTCTAACAAAGGAAGTTAGGTAAGATTTAAGAAGGGACAGAAAGAATAAATATCTCATCTGCTTGTAAAGGACAGTGTGAATTTTTTTATATATTATATAGCAGAAAAATGAGCACTTAGAACTGAGCTCCAACAAGAAAAGAATTGCTCACAGRATGAACAAATTAGGGTAAATTAGGCACCATTTATAAGGGATTTAGAGGAGGTGTTAAACTCTGTTTAAGATAAGGSTAAAACTGCTGTGATTTATCCAATATAAGCTATATTGATCCAGAGAAAAATCTATAATGAAAGTACTTGCCCAGAAAGTGCTTATCTGAACACTACCTGTAGTCACAGAACATATAGTCCATCCCTGAAAAAAAGAGTTGYATTCTTACTGGAACAGGTTGCCATAAGAGGAAGTTAAGATCTTGTTTCCTTCCCCCTCCTTTTATTACTGAGAGGAAGAAGAACAAATCACTAAGAAAAAAATAAAAAGATCCCGTGATCYCCTATCTCAAGGGTCACAGTCAGCAGCACAAACAGAAGCCTCTTGAGAACTCAGTTTTCAGAATAGTTTTGTCCGACAAGAATAATGGTGTAAAACAAGGTCAAGCACAGAGTTCCCTAGACAGCAATTTCAACAGTACTTCAAACTTGCATTAGCATTGCAATCCAGTCCCTGCTTTTGGTAAGAGGAGTATCTGTCTGAATATTTATGGTTGCTGAGGTAAACCAATGCCCCTAATATAGGAATGAAMAACCAAGTCAAGCTGCTTTTGTTCTCCAGCTATGGACAAAACATTTTTCTGTTGTTTTTTATATAGAAGTCTCTCCCCARAATAATTTTCATCTATACCTGTCTGTGTAAACATGACAGAATAAGCAGGGGGAAAAAAAGCAGGCTGAGGCATAGCTAAGGGTCCTAAAAATGTGGAGTTCTCACTTTTGGTTCCACATTTAACAAACACAGGAAACAGATTTCAATAAATGAGGTGCCTGAAAACTTGCTGTAGGTGGCTCTCTTGAATGCAGATTTGGGTTAAGGGTTTCACTTCACATACTTCTATGACTCCTTGATAATTTTGGCAGGTCTCAATGATAAAAAACACACTTCTGAACTGACACTTTGATTAAAACTTCAGATTTTCTCCTCCTTTTGTGTACGTAGAGCAAATTTTTGTAGGAAAAAACAGCTGGTGCTGTATCAGAATTCTTATAAACAAGAAGTCTGCTACTTCTTGGCAAGTAGCAGCCTCAGAGAGACTGTTAGAGATGACAGACTATTCAGTGTGTAAACTTAAGTGTTTGATGTTTTCAGTAAGATATTGCAGTGGGCACAAAGAAGAGTTGCCTGTGCTTTCTGCAGTAAAGCTCATACAGAAAGACAGAATATATTCCATAATCCAAATCTCAGAACTGGCACTCGTAAGAYGCTAGACTGTTTTAACACTAAAAGAACTCAAACATCTATGACAAAGTGTATTAATTTATCTGATAAAAGGGACACAAAGAACATCCCAACCTTACAGAGGATACCTGCAGGAATACATGAAGAACACAGTGCCTCTGAAGAACTAACAATGACAGTTGCTAAAATGAAACAGTTCTTCAAACTGAGGATGAACAAATGATACACAGTATCAAAAATWGGAGACATCAGTTATTAACTAGTAAGAGTTACTGCTTCTAAGAATGATCCTACAGKTACTTAATAGTTGCAACAAAAAGATTATTAGAATTTAGATACCTGAACTAATTTTTGTAGGTCTAATTCTTTCATTTGAAAGTGAACCAAAAATCCTAGCCTGATATTTCATAAAARCATTTTCATTTTTTGGGTTGAAATAAATTGATTTGGAAACTGCATCCCRAAAAATTAGAGAAGAATTGGGTTTCTCTCTTGAACAAAAAGGCCTACTCACTTCAGCTCAACACTGTGTCCTTTATTTTGGACTCCTCCTTTTCTTTACAAAGTGCAGAGAGCAACAGACCTCCACAAGGTCTGACAACACAATRTCCCAAGTGGCACAAGGCATAAATTACCAACACTGCACGGTAGCTGCAAATCTCCGGGTACAATGGCAAAACATCCTAGGCAGCGCTGGCCAAGGGTGTGATTACAAGGTAATCACACAGAAATTTCTCTTTTTTTATCCCACCCGTAATTAACAGAGATGAAGGAAGCTACCACTCAAATGAGAGAAAAAAGAAAAACGTGCTACTGTACTGCAAATCTGGACCAGAGATTTGAAATCAATCACATCTGACCCTGTAGGGACAATCCCTACAAAGCAGATGGACTTTAAAGGGTTGATAAGAGTTGCTTTCTTTTTCTTAACTATGTTCTTTAGCCATCTTCTGAGGTTAAGATTAAAAAATAAAGGACATTTTAAGGGGAGCAGAAAAGCATGACATCATCTGCTCCTCATTTTAGCAGAAAGGCAACTGATTCCTGTGTGTGTTCACTGCAGGAACCTTTTGTGGCCAGAGCTGCCTCCTCTGATTTATCTGTATATCTGTAAATCACCTGTGGAGAGCAAAGAACCGATTAGTATGGATTACTGGAACTATTCACTGCAGAAATGCCAAGCTACCTAATGATGACTTATACTGTAAGCCCTGCTGTTGGAATAAATCTGCTGTTCACCAATTAATGTTGTACAATTCCTATTAAATACATATTATAATTCACAAAATGTATTAATAAGCTTGCTCAAATATTGGACCACAGATGTGGCTCATGGGAGGGCTTTTAAGGTCTGATCTCTGACAAATGCTGAGCCTGCACAGACCCATTAAAATCACTGGAAAGTGTGTGTGCCAAGCACTACTCAGAATGAACCTTCTGCCATTCTCCATATTTAGATAGACATCAAATCATCTTCTGTATTTGGACAGGATTAACACTGGCAAGCAAGGTATCTTACCCTCCCTATCATTATGTATATATTATGTATATAATACTTATTCCATACACCCACAACTGTATTCTGCAAGATCTATTGAAACTAATATTTCTTCTCCAAATCAAGTTCCTTACATTGCTTCAATTCTTTCCAATATTACTGGTAAGTGCGTACTAAAATTCCTCCAAATCATTCTATCAAGAAATCTATCAAGAGCAATCTTGGTCTGAAATTTCCAATGATAGATTTTAGCAATCCACAAATCAACTCAACTTCTTCTTGCAGCAGTGAAATACCTAAGGTTAAATTTTACATGCCTCACTATCTCATAATTAGGAACAGCCCCATAAAATTGTAAAATGGCTGTTCATTCACATTCTTCATGCTTTACTTTTCAAAGTTAGTCATTTAAACAACTCTGAGGGCAATTTTTATATTATATCTCAATAAAATCTTTCTTAGRTCATCAAATATTATCAAACAGATGATGCACAGTGAAAGAAATAGTATCCAGACAGTAACCCTTTAGGCAAGATTAAAAAAAAAAAAATAATAATTAGGTTTAAAAGTTGCTAGAGCTAAGCTATTTTGGCAAGGCAGCATCAGTGACTGAGTTTGAAAAAACTAGGGTGGAGAGCAGACCAGCTGCCTAAAACCTGTCAAAAGRCAGAGCTGTACAACACAAAGTTCTATTTAAACACAAACATAACAAGTAAAAAGAGTCAGTCTGAACTGGGGAGAGAGAAATGCAACATCCAGTCTTAATTAGAACATTTGACAATTATGTGTCCTTATGTGTAAAATTAAAAAAAAAGCCTATCATTTTGATCTATTAAAAATAAACCTATAGGTTTGGGGTGGTGAAGGATGGTGAGATACAGTCATTGGTTCTGATGAATTGTGAAGCTGGTAATAGACTACACTGTGTGGACAGAAGGAGCTTCATGTGTTGTCCTAAAAGATGAGAAAGGCCATGAAGTCTACAGGATTTCATAAGATTGTTGCATCAGTGGAAATGTGAAATTAACTGCTACTAGGACTAATTTGAAATCCCTTTAAAACCCACAAAAAGGATCAAGTAAAGCACATTAGGAGTAGTTGTTAAAATCTCTGGAAACCAGAGGGAAATGTTTTCAAATCATTGCTAGTCAAACTAAAACGTTTTCTGAGATCTGAAGAAGTTTTTTTGGAACAAAGCAGGAGCAGCCCACACTGAAGGAACTGAATGAGAAGAAAAAAAGATAAAGCTAGGAACTTTTCAGAAGACTAAAGAGGACAAAAAAACCAAACAAACCCAAAAAACCCAGACAGACTGTTGAGTAGAAATTCCATTCAAGGGCTTTTATACTTTGACTAGGAATAAAAAACTTGTGTGTATAAGAAAATATTTTGCATGGTCTCCAAGTTCCCGTTTCTTTATTTTCATGGAACTGCCAAAGGATTAAGTTGTACACTGGAGTATTAATAGGGACAGATCTCCAGAGCAATGTTTGTCTAACATTAGGGTAAACTAAGGATCCTGCATTAAAATACCAGTGCTCTACCTCCACAAACKAGAACCAGGCGCAGGGCAGCCATCCAAGGCGGGTCTCATTATACATTTAATCTGTAGTTTAAGTTAGTCAAATTGAGATTATTCCCAAAGAATTCTCCATCTTCCCTCCCACCACATTTACATGCTTTCCCTCCCACATATACCATTTTATCACTTTTTTAATATGCCCCCTTGGGTTTTGGTTTTTGTTTGTTTTGTTTTGTGAGGCTAGTTACTATTTAATTCARGTCACAAATTGCCATTCACAGAATCATTACAGCAAATTAAATGGGAATGCATATTTGGTGAAAGGGAATGAATTTAGCCTTAAGCCAACTGTGAAACAATAACCTGAGATGCCAGAGAGTGCCTAGAATCCACTCAATCTCAAAGGATCTCAGTTGGGTTTGTTTTTAAACTGATCTTGAAATATTTTTGAATGGTTTCTAAATCGGAATTTTTCCCCTTTTTCCACACAAAAGAGAAGGAAGTATTTTTGAACGAATGAAGCATTTTGAAACACTTAAAAATTTTGGAATCTTGTAATTACAAACTACTAATAAAATGTGAAAGCCCATATTAAAACAGGAAAAATAATCATGAATTCTCCTCTTTTCTCCCCCATACTGTTTATCAAATTTACGAATTACTTGTTTTCTAGAAGCAATGTTTGTCTAAAATAAACAATTTGGTCCAACAAGATCATCTAGTGTAGCTGGAAAGCACAWGGACAATGCAGCAGACCGGTGAGGAGTACAACAGTGAGGTCAGGAAGTCAGAATCTGGCAAATAAAACAGGAAACAAGGGTACACAACACTTGGACTTCAAAACCAGCTCAAGTGGCTTCATCTGAAGACTACATCCGTCTGTGTACACTCAGAGAAACTGCCTCCACGACTAAAATGCCAAATTAGCAAACAAACACTCATGCTCCATGCTAATACCATTGTCCAGATGGCCCTACGTGTACACAGCTTCTGAAAATACCTACAGAGCAGGAAAGCAACTCAGTCTGCACAGCATTACATAACCATATTCACTTCCACATGACATGCTTTCGGTCTAAGTGAACTACTTCTGAAAGGAATAAATCTGAGGGATGTTTACACTGCYACCACTGCATTGTTTCACAATACAATCCTGCAAAGTAGTGAGTTAAGACTGCAGTCAAAATTAAGACTAAGAGAGAAGGGAAAATGATAAGCWAAAAAGACCCAAGGATTTACAAGGAAAACAAGTCACCTTACTTATTTTCAAAACAGTCTTTTTTCTTTCTCACCAGCAGAAATGAGTCTCTTTCCACAACATCAACAAGCCTTACAGTGTTTCAAGAAGGAAGATTAGGAGGAATAATGGGCAAGAAGGCTTTAGTCAGGTAATCATAAGCAGCAGGAACKTGAATTAGTAAAACATATTCTCAAAGCATTAAGATAAATCAGTGGCATAATATGCAAAGGATTTTATTTYGCTCCTAAGAGCAATGAAAAAAGGGTACCTTGGCTATCTACAGTTAGGCAAGTCAAGAATGATTTAAAATATTTGTTTGCTCTGTCATCTTAACAATTGTCTTATTCCATATTATGATTACTTGATGCACTGTTTGAGAAATCTCTCACATCAGAGACGTGCAACTTGGCTAAAAGTTTTCCAAACACAGCAATGAGAGCAGAAGCTCTGGAGTGTACCACAGCATAGATATCTGCAATGAGGAAAGCCAAAGGGGTAGCAATTTTCCTTCCACTTCCATAAACAGAAAAAAAACCCCTTCTCTTGCTGCTTTTGTAAATTCAGTCAATGCTTGTTCTGACTAGGGTAAAAGAAAACATCCTCTGCAATATGAATCTTTTCCTGAAGATACATTTGTGTGCTGATTAGAGAGTTGAAATGTTTACCTGAAGATAAAAAGGCAGGCTTTCCTGAATGGCAGACAGCAAAGCCACAGGCAGCTCCTTGTCCTGCTGGAGCACAGAGTGTGGCAGCAGTAAGCAATCCACAATGCGAAACAAGAGCTGCTGTGCCTTGGAGGTAGCCAGGATTGGTGCACAGAATTTTACCAGACATCCTGTTGAAATAAATTCAAAAAATAAAAAAAAAATCCAAACCAATTTACAGTTAGGAAAAAAATTAAGAAAGCCTAAAAAGGCAATTATATTAAATTAGATCTTAGAGTAGCAAGAGTAACTGAATTGTCTCACTCCTATGAACTCATTTAATGGCACCCCTTTAAAAAATCCCAGTCAAAACAACTCAAAAGTCCATTACAATTCACCAAAATAAAATACTAAATTCATTCAACACATCACAATTAGAAGTTTTCAGGCAAGTGAAGCTGCTTTAGGGTAAGTACAGCAATGCTAAAGAAAGGACAAGTCTCTTAGATCCCTGCAGAAAACTTAATGAAACTTGATCCATAATGCAGTTGCAATCAGCACACATGCACTTAAACATTTACCTTGCTGTGTGCATTCCACCCTTTTACAGGGAAATGCTGCCTTTGCCTTCCCTTCACATTTGTCCAGCACCACTGTGGCAACACCACATCAGCAACTACTCACACAGCAATTCAATGTTAGCAAAACATTAAATATCCTTCAAATTGCATTTAATTTCAGCAGRTTAAGAAGAATGAGGGGCAGCCAAGTCCATTAAACCAGAACAGTCTTTCCAGGTCTTTGTGGGCTCTCAGTTCACAAACTGAGAGCCTCAAAGAACATCTTTCTTGTTTTCAGCAAGATAACAAATCATTTGCTCAGCTTTGAGCCAATTTTAAGATTGTTCTTTTGACTTGCAAGAAAAAAAAAAAAAAAAAAAAAAAGGTGTTAATGTGTAGATACCCCAGCTTTCAGAAACATCTTAACTACAGGCAAGGTGTAATTTTTCTTGAAAAAATAACTATACTCAGAAGTGTTAATACTCAAAATACACATTAAATAAAGCAAGATTCTTATGTAGTAGTTTCCACAGACATTTTCACCTTCACATTTAATTAGAGGAAAGAAAAAGTTTGCTGCGTTGAAAATACAGGAATATCCCAAGAAAACACATTTAGGACTTTAAAATAATGGAAAATCAAAAGTAGGCTGTTACAAGATATTATTAATCTATAAAAGTCATTCATTATCATCTCTAAAAACAACGCAAAACAACATTAATCTTGTGGAGTGAAAGAAAACACAACGATCAATCATAGAGAAAGAGAACGATCACCTAACAATACTTCTAATAATGTTGTCTAAGCTTCCTGCTTTGAAAGAAACATGGTCATTCCAGCTAAAAGTACTCCTTCTATTATCACTGCTGTGATGTATGGGACAGTACAAGACACAATCTGACTACAGACAGAAGGTGTTTAGATTTGTTAAGTTTCAGGTTTTGTCTTTATAATTTAACAATCCCACAGAATGTGAAGCAGTGATTGAAATACACTTGAGTGTTTTTTCTTTTAAACCTTTATGTTTTTTTTAAATAAAAAGGAAGTACAATTTCTTGCACACAACAGCATGACTGAAGATTAATTGTTTCCTACTGCAAAGAACAAAAAGAACAATACCATTTAAAAAAGGAAAAWACCAACCTAAAATTACTTTCCAAGGCTCCAACTCACATCTAGATACCTAAAATATTTTAATTTGATATACATTTTGTGTATCAAAGTATGCTGATCTCTCAATGGAAAAGTCAAGTACTTTACAAATCTCTAATTCCAGTACATTTGATGCACCTTCTGCATCTCAGTCATGCTTTCCCTGTGCGCCTTATAATTATGATATAAACTGTGTGCCTGCAAATCATTACCTCTATTTTAAAATACATAAGGTTTACTCTATTTTTAAAGAGAGTCACTTCTATTTAAAATGAGTGGGCAGAGGAAGGAGACAACAAAAGATCTCACACAAAAAGATTCATGACCCTCTGTAGGAAGAGCAGATCCACTGTGGCATAAATTGCTGTAACTTCAGGAACTGCTGTGACATTCAACCATCCTAAATAGCCAGAAACCAACTCTTGACACTGTTTCTGGGTTTGTTTAGGTCAAACAGGCAGTTTTCAGTAATGAAAGACACAAAACCATCTTACTTTTGAAAATACTGATTTGCAGAGGTAATTAAAAAACCCACAAACAAAAACCACTAGGAGATTAGACATCATGGTCTAGAGAAAATCTGGAAATAAGAGCTATCTAACTGTAGCACCTTGATGACTTTCTTTTTTAAAACATTAAATAATACAGAGGAAAATATATATATGGATAGTATAGAGGGGGAAAATGTATTAGAAGATTATTTTACTGATTCCTTGCAACTATTTCCTAAAGGAAAAGAGGTTGTAAAATAATTACCTATGATCCAGTATGTAAGCTGCAGACCTTCTGGAGGTCCTTTTGCCTTCAAATAAGGTTTAACRTACTTTAATACATCACCTAAATACTCCAGAGTCTTTGCTACCATGGCAGATTTCTCAGGGAGTGTCTGAAGACCACTGTAAGTTTTACCAACAGCCTGAGAAAACAAAAACATAGTGAGTTGATTTATATTTATTTCAAAGTCTCTCATGATATTTTAGTGAGCAATTTCTTCTTCAGCACTCTAAATCTGATACATAGTCTCTTTTCACTAAAATTGTCCTATGAAACTAACACAGGGAACAGATATACAATACCTTAATGAACTGGACAAGAGCATTTTTTGGGTCTTGCTTGAAAACTGAYTCTCCAACATTAGCCTTTAAAAGAATGTTTTCTACTTCTGAGAGTTTAAAAATCAGTCTTGTCATTTCAGTCAGCTGCTCCATGTAGGCTTTTCCTGATTATTACAAGAGAGCACATCAGTAAATACAGTATACAGTTATGCTTTTAGATTTAATTTAGTCTCAAAATGATAAAGTGAAACATTATTTTAAAATGTCTAAAACATAAGTATTCAACTTAGACAACCAACTGCATCTCTCCAAAGAACATAAATCTAAACCAGTAGTTTTTCTGACATAAGTTGTAAGAGAATGAAGAGTATTAAGAATGGCGAACCAAGTACTTTATTGTGCTGATGGGTTTTTCYTCAAAATCTGCAAAATGTGGATGAGAAATAGTGACTAGAAGATGTATTCTACAGATAATTAGAACTGCAGTGGTTTTAAAAGAAGTAATGAAGTATTGCTCTAAGAAAGCAAAATATCCAGTATAAAAAATGGGGAGAATTAATTGCAGTTAGATTTTCCCCCTCTCTTTTTTTTTTTTTTTTTCCCTTTTAGGGCATTCACAGCATGATTTCTGACTATTTACTTCACATTTTCACTTTTTTTAGAGCAGTTTCTCCATGGGGGAAAAATAACTTGTCTCCTTGGGAGCAAGTTTTTATTTTTTGCTTCCAAGGAAACAAGCTCTTTTATCTTTGTTTGTGATAAATTTGTCATATGCAGAGCAGGCAAACTATCAATAAATAGCACAAGCAGTGTAAAGAAACACATTTTGTAATTAGGTAAAAGTAAAGGAATACAAACAAAAATACATTTTGTAATTAGCTGAAAATGTTTGCCAGCTTTGCAATATAGCCCCGTTACTGCAAACATGAGGGAAATGTGAGCACTTACCAACTGTTCTCTCAGCATCTGTCTTGGCCAAGGCACCACTTGGTTGATCGAGGAACATTTGCAAAACGCAGCGAAACCACGAACGTACTGTCAAAGCTTCATAGGATGTATAGCCCATGCTAGAAAAAGCTTCACACAGTGAACTGCGTAGGTGGAAGAGGAAGAAAAAAGGTAAGGAGATCTAATAAAAGTAGGCAGAAAGGTGACAGAGTGTCTCATTTGTCTGTGGATGCACATATATACATGTACATRTGTTTTGGCTACATAAAACGGAGGGAGGGAAATTCACAGTGGGAAATGCCTTAGTCTAACAACGGATGATTTGACATATTATCTAAACTGACAAGGTACAACGCTGGAAATGTTTATTTGAATCAGCCTGGAACTTCATATTGACACTGCTTCAGCTGCTCCAGCCTTTCATAGAAAGCCAGCCCAGGTGCCCCACGCTATTCTGGAGCCTGTTTAGTTCTAACTACATTAAAGATGGAGGAGGTCTGCTTAAGCAAATAAAGATATGCCAATGTTCAAAACAGATCAAAAAGGAAAACATAAAAGGGCATCTTGGAGACAAGAAAGGAAACTGCCCTACTTGGCARTACATTTACAGACATATTAATTTAGGTATGTATACACACACAAGTTTATACATTCCCACACCAACTTGCTATACATACTTTAAACTCTTGCTACCATTCTACCAGTCAGCTGTTGGACTCGAGTCACTCAATGCACAATCCCTGTACTCTACTGCTGTCTATTCCCAAAGATTTACTTGCCTCAATACCATGAATAGCTGCTACAGTCATTTTTCCCAAGCATATCAGCCTCACATCATTGATTCTGCAGAAACTTGTTGCTAAAAGACAGCAGGTGTGTTCTGCCTCTGCTCCCAATTACTATCAAATGAGCTGCATGTGTGCTTTGGGTCAGTGAAATTTCTTGAAAATAGTTACACCTTTTATTTGAGAGACTTCCTCCCTGGTCAGTCCTAGATGCTTCAACTTTAATGAAAACTGCTTGTGCTCTTTCTTGATATATGTACATGTAAATCTACTTATTTTATGCTGACATTTATTCATCTTGCAACAGAATGTCAACACAGGTCCAATGGAAACCAAACTGGATTCTACTTCTCACTAAACAACATTAATAAAGTTGGGATTTTTTTCTGCTTTACTTATTTAAAACCAGTGACAACTGTATACTTTGTCTGAACATCCTTGCTGAAGTACAAATGACAAAATAAGTAAGGAGACCAAATGAAAGCAAATAAAAAAAATTAACATTGAATTCCAGGACCAAAAGAGAAAAAATAGGATGCCTATGGACTTCAGGCTCCTTGCAATAACATGCAAACAAGTTCAGTCTCATGTAATCTTGATATACAGAGCCAGCCTACTTGGTCCCAAAGGCTCACAAAAGCACTTTCTGTTGTAGTCTCACTCCTGTTTCTCTTGCTTGCTGGTAGGTGGGAGATTTAGGCATCTTCCTAGAGCTGGAGAGGAATATGTTCCTAATCCTTAGAAAGGAAAGAACCATAACTACCTGCTAGAAGTGGTAGTGGTCCTTGTAAAACAATGAGCTTATTCATATGCTCAAATTTAGTTTAGATAGATTATAATTCTAATGAATTTAGATGAATCTAATGATCATGTACCAAACAATATAGATCTGGAGGGGGAATTTTAGCCTCTGCTGCAGAAGGAATTCCAAAGCTCCTGCACATTGCCAGAACTTGCAGGGTGTAACAGTATTGGAAACAAAAGAATCTTTTCACTTTTTAACTGAGAATATTTGATGTAAAAATTATCAGGGCACATTAACCATGAAGTCTTAAGATCCCAGCACTCTGATAACTTTTGCTCTACAACTGCCTAAGGTAGATAAGCACACGAATCATTCTACAAAAAAAAGCTTTCAGGACAACAGTGTTTTGAGTATGGTACCCCTATATTCTACCAAGAATGTCTTTAGATACTCACTGWCCTTTCACAAGGAGTCTGAGGTAGGATAACAATGCATCTGTGTACACAATTTTAACAATATGTCAGATGCTTAATGAATATTGGCACAAATACCTAAATAACTGCTTTCTATCACCTACTTGAGTGTTCACTGGGGAAATTGGTAATTAACCTTAAGCACCTAAATAATACCAAAATTCAATTTTAGGAATCAAAATGTTTTTCTCTATTTCACCCGAGGAGCAACAAAATTCCAAATTATAAAATTCAAATTATGAAAGGAATTTATGTAACTCTTATCTCACATTCAGCACCTATTAGGTATCTGYAACCTTGAATGAAACTCACCCTGCAAAACCATAAAAGAGAAATATAGCAGAGGACTGAACACTCCCCAGTTTCAAACTGACACACAAAGAACTAAATTCAACCTCTTCTAACACCTCCCAGCAAGAAGGCCATAGCCTCATCTTTGTCAATCACACTTAAATAATCTTTACCATATCCTGATTTACAGTTACTGTCCTTAGTACACTATGTAYCCTAAAAATGTGCAACATTTGTCACTTTCAAATACACAGAAATATTCCCTCTTTCTCTCTCATTTCTCACCTCCCCTGCTTCCAAAACCTGATTCAGAAGCGGGCAAGGCMGGCAAAAAAAAGCACACCACAAAAACAACCACCACCCATCCATCTTAGGTTCACAGAGGCTTACTTAGTGAAAAGAAAATGTCTCAGGTATATAAAAATTTGACTGGATTGGCCTGGGCAATCTACACTAGCTGATCCTCTTTGAGTAGATGCAAAGAATCTGGACCATTTAAATGAAACATTACAGTCTGAAGCAAGATTTTCCACAAGTCTAATCAAGGATGAAGAGGTACTGAAAAAACAAGTAGTTGCAATTTTTCACCTATTTTGAATTAGATGACTTAGGTATCTTGACACCAGCTGAGGCCACACCATGTCATCCCATCCAAAGAGACGCATCATTGATAGAACAGGCTGAGGCTGGAGATCTGATAGGGCTTTGCTGGGTATATCCAAAGCTAAGAGAGTAAAACCTGTTTATAAAGTGAAAAAAACATGCCACTATGTTAATAATTTCTCAGTATAATCCCCGTTTCACTAAAAAGTACTGAATATTAATTACAGTTAATAATGTGCAATCTGAAGTACCAGAAATCTCAATTAAAAATTCTAACAGTGTTTGTACCCAGGTTAAAAATGTACTCTCTATCCCAAGCAGTTTGTAAGTCATCAAGACACATTAGCTGCAAAGGAGAAAAAATGGATCCAAACATATGCAATTTTAAACAGATTCACAAAACCACACTTTATAAATCCTGAAGGCATAGTTTTACTACCTCTGCAGAAAAAAACATGTATTAAAACCTGCTTTTTTGTCTTCTTGACTTCCCTTTCTTACCTCCATCCACTACACCCTGCTCRGTACACATAAGTATTACTGTGCTTTACAGGGTTGAGTTTTATTTATTTTTGTTGCTTTTACACACTTCTCACTGTGAAAAACTATCTGGAAAGAATTCACTTAGTAAAAGCTGGTACCTCTCTTTTTTAAATAGACTTTCATGTATCAAAAGTTACCATATAAATGAAGCACTACAGAAAAATTTACTCTTGAAAAGGATCTCCATATAACAATTGCTTATCTAGAAASTGGGGCAGTACTTTGTACAGAATTTTGTTAATGAAGCACAACCTTTCGCTATTTCTGTTATGTCTACTGTAGAATCCCTATCCAACACTACCAGAATGAAAAATACAGTACATTCTTAATATTGAAAGTGCATTAAAACTCAGAAATTAAACGTAATCTTAAATGCTGAGCAGTTATTAGGTTATAGGAAATGAGAGGCATCAAATGAGTCTTGGACTGACTTTAGAAGGCAATGATAAAAGGGCTCACTAGTTCCCAAATTCTCCAATTCAAGTTAAACACAATTTTATATGCACTGATAAACTGACTTTGAATTAGACAGGAAAGGCTTGTTTTCAGAAACAATGAAATTATTTTAATTAACAGTACAGGGACAGACCATCTTAAGCCATGAAGGACTTCCCATTTCCTCATGTGCCTCAGAATTAACAAGTCATACAGAGTCTCCACTTTGCCTTAGGTGAGGAAACAATCCGTGCCAGCCTTCTTCCAGATTATCACCTCGTTTCTGCAGCATCAGCCATAACATAGGTTGGGGAGAAATGGGAGGCAGAACAGTAAGGTGAGGCCCAGGCTGTTTGCCTGGCAGGGGGAGCAGGAGAGCTGTGACAGCTGCTCCCTCTCTCTCCTCTGGGCTGCAACCTTAAGGCAAGAAGCTCAAACAGCGTGGGAAAGGTTTGCCTGTCTCTGTAGTGCTACCTAACACATCTCTATAAAGCAGGTCACAACTGCACTCCCCTCCTTCTCAGAGGAGTTTATAATAGCTTGTGCTCTTGCTATTTCACTGTGCTGATATAAAATAAAGAAAGCTATGTCACTGTAGGAAATGAATGAAAGTTTTGACATTAACAACCTCTTCCTTTGATTTGTATTGCTGTTTCTCACACGTTTCAGCAGTGTGAGACCACTACTGTTGCACACTGCCTTTTTCATTAATGCTACCTCCTAACTACCACAGAGCGGCTTCAAATGAAGGGTCTTTTAGCTTTTCTACTACCAACTCAGTACTAATTCATATCATGATGGGAAAAAATATTTAATGTTTCACTCCTCTGAATTTTAGTTAACTGGATGCAAGATTTCATTGTAACTACAGAATTCAATGTTAGCTACTGATGTTAAAGATCAAACTGCGATATGTTTCTATTCACTGCCAAGCTGACTCCTTGCTGGAGTTCACACACATGCAGTCTTGTACTTCAAGATTAAAAGCCTTCAGTGCAAAGCAAGACAAATAATTAGAATGATTTATGAAATAGTTTTATGACCATGAAGGGTCCTGCAAAAAGGAACAGTCAAGTRAGCAACCTTTCAAAAATTGCCTTCAACTGCAAAATATTTTTTAAAATTTAGTTTAAATCTCAACCATTATAAACATTTCAACACAAATAAACTTCTACAAAAACATGTAAATTCTGGATATAGTGAAAAACCAGTATTCTTATTTATATTGTATAACACTTGCATGTTGATTAAAATCAGTGACTAGTAGTAAAAAAGAAGTCAGGCTTTTATAGCTTCAACCCCTTTGGTATTCTCAATGCATTTTTATCCTGTTAAGGAATCCAACACTACAATACTTCTTTGWGTCAAAACATTTACCACAAATTCTACTTTTTGTATTTATACATGCCCCAGCTCCTACATGGAAGGAGAAATATCCCAAAACATAAACTCCTTGAAAGTTTGTGACTCTATAGAGAATAGCACCAAATCCAGGAGGTCACAGGGAGGGTCRGTGCTAACCTGCAGCTGTATCAGCAAGCTGTGGGGAAGGCGGTGTCTGGGACATTCTCTGGCTCTTCAAGTAGGGAAAGAAATTTCTCCAGAGAGCACTGGCGACAGCAAGGTGGTGCTCTTTAGCCACTAATGGAAGCTGTGCGTCTGGGGCTGCGTTTCCCACTGGAAGTCCCTGGCTTACACGTTCGTGCACACTCCTAGGGAGAAACAAAAACAATGTTTATGTTCAATAAATGAAAAATTCACATATTTTTTAAAACGCATTCACAAGTACTTTAAACCGTAGAGCCTGAGAATTGAAGGATCATTTTGAGCAATTAAAACCTTTATGCAAAGACATTAAGCATACCAGTTATTTGATGGATGAATGATGGCATATTAAGCACCATAAAGTTAATGTTAATTACTAATGTCAACCATTAATTATATGCTTTTTAATATGTCAGATCAAAATGAGAAATTGGCAGCTTTAAAATGAATATCTGCATTTTGCAACTGCTAGCATGACAAGCAAGTCTGCTTCCAATCCAAAGCCAGGTGCTTCTTTAAAATTTTTGTCACTAGGATTTTTAGGATAGAGTTGTGTACAGCAAATAATAGCAAATGATTTTGATCAATGGTAAAGCTTCCTTCTGAAATCTACTTCTCACTTGTAAAATCTCACTAGGTGCGAGTTTAGATAAAAGATTCATTTTATCCTGATACACTGCAGACAATTAGGTTTGACAGCAATGCCCACAGCTTTGTTAGTACAGTAAAGACAAAAGTTACCACTACACATAACTCCCATCTCTTCCTCAGACAATGTGGCATGAATTCAATAACGCACTCAATTTTCTTTGATTCTTCTAGTACCATTCCTGCTACTTAATCTAATTTGGAAGTTGTGACTTTCTAGAGGTTTAATAGAGATATGTCTGCAGGGAATCAATGTTCTCAGAGAAATGGGGGGGGGGGGGGACATTAATAAATTTGTCTGGTAGAGCAGGATAGGAGGCATTACAGTACCAGGCTGATCAACTAAATAACATGCTTATTAAAAACAATCTGTAGGAACGCACTATCATTCCTGTTCCTATTTATCTTCTGGTCAAGCCAATTGAGATTGTGCATTAAAGCACAGGCAGCATTATTACGTTTGCTTTATTAAATTCTATAAACAGCACTGTAAAGTCAGAGTCAAGATATTTATAAGATAACGGCAAACTGCAGAGGCATCGAGAATTGCCTTAATATTAACATTTCTAGACTAMAATGTTTTTTTCTTAACTGCCATTCTCACAATAGTAACTGCTTCACAAAAATCTTCCCCATGATATTTATTTCATGCTTACCCTAATTTGAAATAAACCAAAACAAAAATAGGAAGAACTCCAGCTCTTAGTTTCCTTCTGGGAATGGGGGAAAATTATGAAAGAATTACACAACTCACAGCACTCATTAGGACATCTGAAATGGAATAATTTTAAATAAAGAGTAGGTTGGCTGCAAGGCCTTCCCGTACTATGGTTGATATTAGAAGCRCATCTCATTATATCAAATTAGTATCCAAAAATTCTGCCCAACACATAATTTAAAACATAAAACATACTGGCTGTCAAAGGTAACGATACCTTATGCCTGCCTGCAGGCATTCATTAGTTTCAATAGGACAGACAGAGAGAATTGAGTACCAGCTACTTTTCCAATGACTACATTTAACAGACAAGGAAAGGTAAGCAGCATTAGGAGGAATCAAGGATTTCTTAGAGAGACGGCATGAGTCCAAACACAGGGACAGAAGCCAAGAATTCTAAACCCAACATTTATTCCCTCAGTGGCTTCACATAAATCATACAGCCTTTGTTAGCCTCAGTTTCCCAGCCATGATATTTGGATAGTGAGACAGCTTACCCTTTAAGGATGCTGTGAAAACAATCAATGCTTAGAAACTGAGGATTATATTCAGTATGTCAGATGGTATTCCTATTTACAAGGCATATTCTCCAAGTCAACATGAACTGAAATAGAAGTGAGATTAGCATAAAAAGTCAAGCAACACTTCTTTGGGACCATCCCCTTACGAAAAAAAGGACAAAGAAAAGGGTGTAGAAATAGTGAGGTCTAGAGGTCAAATGATGAAAAGGTAAAAGAAGGACTAAAGAAACAAGTCAAAAATTATTTTTGCCTATTATGAAAAGAAAAAGTTTAACAAAGGATAAAAGTTAAAACAAAGGACTTTCCTATTCTATTTTGTTAGGAAAGGAAAGCATGGTACCTCGTAATGCAGAGAATAAAACTTCTGGGACCAAAGTCTGCCCTACTTACATCYAGACTACGCTGTAAAATTGCACAAAGACCTTTTTCTCTCCTCTAAATTGCCTCTCCAAAGACGGGTGCCTTGCATCTCCTTTAGCCATCTATGCAAAGTAGAAGGGTGTACAGACTTCCAAAGTAAGGTAATATATCTCTGTGTCAGTGGAAGGGCAACACGTACAAATCAGTATTTATGTTTATTCATAGTAACCTACACAAATGCTTGCAATAAGGTAAATRCTTGGAATCGATGGGCATCAATATATGCTGCAGCTGATGTAGCCAGCTACTTCTACCCACAAGCACATTTTTTAACTCTTCAAAAATATGAATAAATGCAATTTTACTTTTTATTCAGGTTTCTACATTTTTCTAACACTAGACAAGCATACCATCAAACATCACTCCATTTCTAAAATTTTATATATTCAATTTTCCATTCTGATAAGAAATCTGGAACCACAGTTGCCTCATTACATTGGTAACAACTTGATGTGGGTTTTATTTCTTTTAAATCATGAATTTCCTATTTCTGTAGAAAGAAATGTGTGGGTTTTTTGGTTTTTTTTTCGTTTTGCCATTAGATCAAMTAAACCCCGGGTTTATTAAAGAAGGGAATGTTTGTGCTATCTGAACGAGGATTGTGCTGGATGTGTAGTAATAATAGTAACATACAGGATTATTTTCTATACCCTACACCTATGGTAAGGAATTGCAGCCATTTATCTGGATGCAGATAATGTAATCATAAAGTATGCCCTTGCAAGCCTGCATTATTAAAACAGAGCCAAACTTTAGGTCAAGCCAGAACAGTAAAACACAAAATTCATCAGCCTGCCTATATAATCGAAACTTTCAAGTCACTCCAAGTCTATCATCTGCACTGGATGCATATTAGCATCCAGGCTTAATAAAATGTCATTTAATTTGATCTACCAGGGTTCAGAGCTCTCCAACATGAGAGAAGACCTCTCTCCTACCAGCATTGCCAGGGGCTACCACCCTCAGGGTCTCACAAGCTATGAATAYAGATACTGGTTTCTTCACAGACAGTATTCCCAGCTCCTCAACTCCCAGTCCAAGCCAGGCCAGCCACAGCATCTACAAATCTCAGCTGCCCAATACAGCCAAGATTAAGCTCAAGAAAGTATTTTTAAAGGACCTGAATGACCTTTTGATGTTGAAACAAATAAATAATTAAACTCAYCACCTGAAGGACCAGCATGCTTGGATAAATCTAGGGAGATTGCGAAGAGATATATGAGTATTTCTAAAATGGTAAATGGCTTTGATGCATAGAATTTCAACTACAATCATCAGTTATTTCCAGAAAAACTCAGGCAAAGGAAAAAAGGAACCATCCCAATCAGATTCAAAGAGATCTAAATGCTTTGTGCCTTTTCAAATCAACAGTACTTGTACAATAATTAATTTGAAGATTTCCCTTCCAAACATTCTCCCTCTTTTTGTACCATTAAGATTTTCAACACAGTTCATAGAATCATAGAATTGTTTTGGCTGGAAGGGTCATAATAGATGACTCTAGTTCCCACACTCCTGCCATGGACAGGAACATCTCCCACTAGACCAGCTTGCTCAAAGCCCCATCCAACCTGGCCTTCAACACTTGTGGGGCATCCACAACTTTTCTGGGCAACATTTGCCAGTGTCTCACCACCCTCACAGTAAAGAATTTCTTCCTAATATCTAACCTAAATTTCTCCTCTCTGTTGTACCCATTATTCCTTGTCCTATCACTACAGTTCCTGACACAGAGTCTCTCTCTGGCTTCCCTGCAGCCCATTCAGACACTGGAAGGTTGCCATGAGGTCTCCACACAACCTTCTCTTCTCCAGGCTGAACAGCCCAAACTTGCTCAGCCTCTCTTCCTAGGGGAGGTGCTCCAGTTCTCGTGTCAACTTCATGGCCTCCTCTSGCCTTGCTCCAACAGTTCCATATCTACCCTCTGCTCAGGTCCCCAGATGATGCCATGACTGACAGCTCAACCACGGCTTGGGGGTTCTGGGGGTGGAGCAGGRCATTGCCTCATCTTTAGCAAAGTCCAGCCTGCCCCTCCCACCAGACACAGACACGGGCATTCCAAAGTGTTTTGTGACATGAAACATCCAGTCTCTGATGAGCAGTACACTCAGCTTTTWGCAACCAAGGTGTTTAGCAAACAGTATTGCAGAGTTACTTAAAAACTACTCATCCAATTTCACTTTCTTCCAATGCTTCTTTAATATCTCTACTGATTTCTTCCTGTCATAGCACCAGAGCTGTTGTTTACGGTGACCAGCACTGCAAACAAGGTTTCAACAGAAGCCACACATGTTTCCAGCAACTAAGCCTATCCAAGATTAAGCTGAAAAAGGTGCTTGTGTGCCCTCCACATGCTATTGAAAATAATCAAGTATGAGYAATCAACTAGTTGACTATTATGCCATTTAATTACATACTATAGAAAATTGCATCTAGAGCACTTATTTCATTGATCCCTGTGGATAGCAACTCCCATGTTGACAAACTCACTGGTCAATTTCTACTTAGCAATTTGTAAATAGGCATTTATTTACTTATTGTCGGTGTGTCAAATATGCTGTTAACATTATATACATATAACATGTCTGAATGATAACCACTTACAATGCCATAAAATAAAATAGAATACAATGTGTAAAGGAAAACACATTTTTASAGTGAGTTAAATACTATATTTATAGACTATTTTTTAAAACATTAAAAAAGAGAAACTAGTTTCAGTTTGTGAATGCCAGCCCTACAGTCCAAAGGCAAAACCAAAATGGTTTCAATGCAGTATCATAGCACTGTGCCAAGACACAAGTAACAAACTGTATGATCCTACCYCTCTTACAAATGCAGAMTGATGCAAAAGAAATGG